AAGTAAAATGGATACATTATCAGTGAGCAACACAACTATATGGAGGAAGAATTCAGCTATTATTAAGAATCTGATGAGCTTTCCCGTCAAGACTGTGTTTTCCTCAACCAATTCAGCCAAGAAATACAACCCAATAGCCATAAAATACAAACCCAAAATACCATAGAAAATGCAAGAAAAATATCCCAGAAATGTGAGGGTTGAAATCTACAAATAATTCATTTAGCTAATATAATTAAGCATACCATCAACGGTAAAGAGCGGAAAATCGGGTGGCTAGTAAACGAGACAGGAAATCAAAATTGTAGCAGCTGAATAAATATATTAATTAATGTGACAAAATTAAGACTACTTTGACGTAAAAGAAATTTCATATCTTCCTAAATTTCATTGTTTTATATAAGCACTAAAAAGTTTTTTTTATTTTTATTCTTATCCAGTCTGTTTGAGAAGACAGTTTATCCCGCCGCGCCTTGTCTTTTCCACTTCGCGTGATTGCTCTGCCTCCAGTTTCATACCGATGGTCAGATTAAATGTTTTAGCTGATGCTCTTAAATCTATTTGCAATGCGGAGAGAAGAAAAAAACGACAAGTTCTTATCCGACCTTGCTCTAAAGTCATTATTCGATTTCTAAATGTCATGCAGCGCAAGGGATATATTGGGGACTTTGAAATTATTGATAATCACCGTTCTGGTAAGATTGTAGTCCAACTCGTTGGACGCATCAATAAATGTGGCGTAATTAGTCCCCGATTTGACATGGGAGTAAATGACACAGAAACCTGGACTCGTAATCTTCTGCCCTCACGACAATTTGGGTAGGTATCATGTTCTTATTATCTTCAGTTTCCTGGTGCTTACCACTAGCGGGGGTATAATGGACCATGAAGAAGCTCATAAAAAGCACCTGGGTGGCAAAATTTTAGGCTACTTTTTCTAATAAAGATCTTCAGCTAATGGCGTGAGTATTCTTATCGCAAATGGACATCAGGATTCTTGTTAACGTTACTAATATTGATGGCTGAACTCTGCACTAAATATTGTTCTATCTATTTGCCCCCGTGCGGAACCGCTTGTCCCACTAATCTAATCAATCCTGTCCGCTAGTTTTGTCTAAGTCCCTAAAATGACCTGTTAATTTTCCTCAGGAATTAAGGCTCTAAACCATCTGTTTTGCATATCCGGCGAGGGCTTGTGATGTAGCTCAGATTGCCTTTCTAATTTGGCTGAATTCACTTATATTTTATCCATTGAATCTAACGCCATATCAAGGTCTTCTGGTTTACTTTTAAAACCCCTTGGCTCAAAATACAGTCATAATCTAACTTCCTCTTAGTGTCAATGATTCCTTACTAAGGTACTTCTTTTTACTAAATCTGGTGTGACTCTACCTTCCATGACAGGATTGTACGATGCTATTAGTGCTCTCCGCTCAAATTCGCACCTTTTGATTGCGGCTTCATGACGCTTCAGTAAAATCTAAGGACTGCGGTCTTTTAATTTCGGTCATGTGTCCTACCTGTCGGGATGAGTATTGTGGAGGGGTTTTAATGTATTGGTTCTCCGTCTTGTGACGTCTGTGGTCATGGTTTACTTTAAATTGCTTTTGTCAAGCGCTCCTAGCACGAATTAATTTTATTATCAGGCTTAAATCTGCCTTGAATCCTCGCCTAATTTGGTGTTTTGTCGCCCCTTGTGGTTTTAGTTCCTGTTATCTTCGAATGCTAGCTTCTAGGTCTTCTGAATTTCCTAGTCAACATGATCAATACCTCCCGGACTTTCATTATTCCCTCATACAACACCCGGATAAAGCTGAAAATCTGCTTTTTATCAACGGCTACAAGATAAACATAACATTCTCTGAAAGATCGCTAGTTCTTTACAACTCCAATTTGCCCTGTGGCTGTAACAATGCAATTCTAAAAATGGGTTTTTTTTTTAAGTTTACAATTAGTGTCTTGTCAGCTTAGAGAGTGCATCACTTCAAATGCGCTTGCCTGTTCTATCGCGATGATTGTGATGTACGGATCTGGATTGTTATAACTCATCTGGTCGATCCATATGTAGAACTGAAAAAAATGAAAATGGATTAAATATTAAACATTTTGTTTGTGCATCCAATGCTTTTGTACTTGAGATTTTATGGCTCGTTGCTGTTTTTGTATATTACCATGCCTCGATTTCTAACCTGCCAGGTATAAGCAGGTATCTCAATGAAAAATGAGCTGGTGGTACGCCTAGTCTTCCTCCACTCATGTGAGAAATCTCTTAAATCACTATGGGTTTGGTGCTATCTGTTTGACGATGATGAATTCCTCTGTTTTCCTAGCCGTCCACGAGGTGACGGAAAAGAGACATCGATTGGATCGTGTTGATTTGATCGTCCGATTGGGGTTAGAAACATGCAATTATTTGAAACATGAATTAAATCTCCCTTTGCAAGTATTAATTTTTAAATGTTTCTCCTCAGTTTTTACGAACCTCGTATCGTAAAATTAATTTACATTTTCGGAATATACATATGATAAAGTCTAGATCTGCGAGAATTTAGATAGCATCTTGATTATTCAAATTATTAAGCCTAAATTTTTATCATTCCAGACTGTCCTCCAAGCCGTAATCAATATTTATAATGTGGGGTATGAAGATCAAGATGGTGCGGTCTTTTGTATGGTCGCAGACTCCTTTCGTTGCATACAAGTTGTTTTCGCAACTTGTTCATATCTGTAGGGCTACCTAAACGAACGCATCTAATCCGGAGTCCATAGTACGCATGATAATTTCTAGAGTATGACCGTAGACGTGGTACATTCCCAGACCTTGCCATTCTTACCACCACACTACGAGTGAAACCGATCCTTTGACCAATTGTCTGCTAACCAATTTTACTATCTCCAGATATGGATTATTCACAAATCCTAT